TTCAAAACGAACTCTACCTCTCTTACAATCTAGGTGAGCTCGATGACTTGGTAACCAATCCATACCCAAAATCACTTCATATCCCTTGATTGGTACCACTATCAGATGAACAGGTAAGTCATGTATACCAATCAGAACCGATACATCACGAATCATTCCTTTCGATTCCATTTCCTCTCCACCAGGTGTATGGACCAATACTCTACCACTATTAATATCAGGTGCAATCTTCATGCGATTTACGTGTGTGGGCGAAACAAAACTATGTGTCGCCCCTGTATCAAAAAGGGTATGAGCTTGTTCCCCTCCAATACTCAACATACCTAAGAGAAGAAATGATATGACCAATGAATTACGCCCATAACTAATTAACAACACCTACATTGTTGAAATTAGTCTTAACTAGCCATATTTGTTACGATTTCCTATTATATTTAAATTGAATATCGACATACCTATGATTGCTGTCGTTTCTTCTTCCTCTTGCTCTTCAGTTCCTAGAGCATAGACCCTAGGCTTCAACGCTGGTCTCTTAGCAGCTGGTTGTTGATGAACTGGTCTTTGTTCAATCCTCTTAGGTGCTTCTCTTTTTAACTCGGGACAATCGCTCTTATAATGTCCCGCCCTTCCACAGTGGAAACAAGTAATCTGGAGCAATCTACACTCGCCAAAGTGACGTCTCCCACATTGTGAGCACATCGGGATACCGGATGTATAAGGTTGCACAACCGCCTTGCCCTTACTCCTGTCATCTTGGACTAGACGCCTATGACTGGGGTTAGTCGACCTCTTAGTAGATGCTTCGATTTCACGTTCTGTTCTCTCAGCTCGATCAGCCATATCAACTATTTCTGACATCGAGTTGATTTTCAAAAGTTCCACCTTTGCCTTGAGAGATGGACGAAGTCCTCTTACGAACTTCTTTACCCTTAAGGTCTCTGTTTGCAGCATCTCACCTCCATATCTAGCCAATGAATTGAATTCCCTCTCATATTCTTTCACTGAACGATTTCCTTGTTGAAGGCTAATAAGCTTCATCGCCATCTCCTCTTGTACTCCAGGTGAGTAATATTTCTCTCGAAATGCATGGACGAACTGTCCCCAAGTGAACTGATAGTTTACCCCAAATGGTTGGGCAACTCCTTTCCACCAGTGTCTCGCCTCTCCATCCAGATGGTAGATGGATATGTGTGCCCTAAAAAGATCAGGACACTGGATAAGATCAAATATCTGAGTCATCCTGTCCAACCAATCCTCGGCCACAGCTGGATCAGATGTACCACCAAATCTTGGAGCTGTACGACGCTCCACTCGATCAAGGAACTGAAAAAATTCCGCATTCATCACAGGTGGTGCAGGTGCAGGAGCTGCAACCGGTTGTACGGGAGGTGGAGGTGGTGGTACATAAGGCGGTGGTGGTGCAGGGACCGGTTGTGGAGCTGGTGCTGCTCCCTGTTGTCTCACAGTAGTGATGAGTTCCATCAGTAAATTTCTCATTTCCTGCATATGATCAGGCTGGGGAGTATTTCCACATCTCCCCTCCTCTGGGACTGGACGTCCTCGTCAACGACCAGGTGTCATCCTACGTTCACATCATGGCAACAATATTAGAATGGTTATTTTACCATAAACTGAGTCGCTAACACCATATGAAGATTTTTGTTAAAAAGTCCGTTGGAAAGAGTTGGCTCTGATACCATCTGTAACGACCCAAAAATCCGGTATTTCGGATATCGTTGAATCGTCACTTGGGTTAAGAAAAAAATCCGATTTATTCTAAAATCAACCATCAAAATCAGACTCTACAGTGGAAGTCTAAAACAATGAATTCAATAACATAAGTCTACATATTACTTTCATGAATAAATTGAATAAATAAAATAGAAACTCTAAATCTTCGTCTTTCTGGCAAACTACCAAATCCAACAAAAATAATCTGCTTCACTTTTCACCTGTGGAGAAAAATGAAAGGGTGAGCTACGCGAATAGCTCAATAAGGTTGCAAGACTATAAACCTCGCCTCCGTACCCAGAATAGACAATCAAATAGAAAACAATTCAATCAACATTCAACTCAAACAAAACT